ATTCAGACTCCTCAAGTAGTCACACAGAAGGAGATAATAATGCTTCTCTGCCAGCCTGCATTCTACTTTTCTGGTCTGCTTATTTTAAAGGGAGGACAGGTTTCTATTATTAATGTTGACTTTAGTGTAATATTGTGGATCATAGTACATGCTATAGAATAAGTCAAAACATAAACCAATTTTTTGTATCAGGGTTATAGGCCATCATTACTCTATTTGTAACTTTCGCTCAGATCATCTAGTTGTAACTATTCTGACTGATCTCAGCAACTAGTGATATCAGTTGCAGCTGCCTTAAGTCTACAGTCATCAATTTCTGACATGGATTCAAAAATAATGGAAGACATTTCATTCAAATATGGAAGGTTTTGAAATTTGTTTGTTTTGTTTTTTTTTTTTTTCTCCTTTAAGTTAAAAGAAGTTCTTCCAAAAACAATCCCAAAAAGAAAAGGTAGATGAACCAGGAGACTGAAGCTATATGGCACTCACCTACAGCATGAGAGATCCAGTTCAAGCCCCAGTTCAGAGTTAAATCTGGACTTGATTCTAGGTCTTCATGGAAAAGCAACTTCTCAACTACTAGGCTAATAAGGCAAATTTCTATCTAAAACCCAACAAATATGCACTTATGCAGAAAGGAACAGTCTTGACTAGAAAGAGGAAAAAAATAGGATACGGGACACCTGATCAAGTCACTGCATTAGTCATCAGAGAAAAGGATTTGACTGAGATACTTTACCTTAGAGGTGTGCTTTAACCAGGCATAGATTTCTCCCTCTCTCACATACATAGAGATTAGATATTTTATCCTGGACCTTTCTGTCTAGAAGTGTTTCATCAAACATCTTCATGCTAAGAAAATAGAAACTCTAATTAGAAAAAGGTGCCTTAAACATTGTACTCAGCTTTAACATGCAAGAAAGCATGTAACATAGATTTAACATGTAATAAGAGGGAGGGAAAGGGAGCTGTGACCCCTTTTAAATAATGTACAAACCTACAGCAGAAGTCAATAGCCCAAAAGAAATTTTGACTGCTGAGCTTCAATCTCCCTCTTACGTAACGATAAAGGGTTTTTAAGAAAATAGTTAGCCCATCAGCCAAGTCCTAAATGGCAAGATACTTCTGGTTTGCACTACTAAAATCTGACAGAGATAAGTCAATTGCTGTCCTAGAGAATATCCAAAGTTAGTATATTTGGTACTCATAAGAGGTAGGCTTGTAGTCTTTGTAAAACAAAGCTTTCACTGACTAAACCTGGGTGCAATCAAGTCTCCTCCTCTAATAAATAGACCCTTAAAAATTGTTTCTTACTGTTGGAAATCTCACCTAATTACAATCTTAGAAAGTGATTGCTATTAGCACCTGATGCAACATGTACCACATCTTTGTGAACTACCCAGTTTTCTCTTGCAAATTCATTGGTGATACTAGTGAGGATATTACTTGAGCAAACACTGCAAATGTTACCTTCCCAGCTGCTTCTCCTAGGTGTGTTGAACCAGTGCCTCTTACATGACTGCTGTTCTGCTGAAAAGCAATGCTTTCCAGAAACAAGAATTCAGCACTTTTCCTAGAGAATTAGGTACACAAAATGCCAATGAGTGACTAAGAAGGACACATGTATGTCTGTAAAAGCCTTAGTACACAGCCCCAAAGAGGAGCCCTTAAAATTTACTAGTATTTTTAAGTCTGTAGCTACACACACTCTGGTCTAGTCTATCAGGAATGAAAAAACACAATAACACCCACCCCACATCTGCAATATCTTGCACCTTTAATCCAGATTTTTTTCCCCTGGAGAATCAAGCTTTAGGCTGTCAGTCAAGCACTGTTACACCTGTTTTACCAAAACAAACAATTTTGAAATCCCAGAACCCACGTTCACACATGCAAAACCGTGGAGAACTGTCTTGGCATCTTGGAGCTGAACACACACACCCCCCCCTCCCCAAAAGCCCCTTCATCATCCCGGGTGTTTGTAAATTCTTCATTCTCAATCCCGGATAGACTGGAAAACAACAAAGCTTCAGACTTTAGTCTCTTGAGCATCCTCCCACTGTGCAGAGGTTACTTAGTTTTCAAAATCCACACAATTATGAAGTTATCACTTCATAAAGATAGCCTGCAAAGCACATCACTATTATGATTTCTAGCTGTATTAATTTTCATATTAGAAAATTAGTTAAGATTTATCTACAAAAAGTACTTGTAAATGCTGTTAGTATTTTATCAAAAATATTATACCTGTTCTACCCCTCAGAAATACAACTGCAATTTGATTTCCATTGACAGAGGTGGCTGTTCTGGAATTGTAACTCCTAGTTATAGATTGGTTAGAACTTTCCTCCACAGAGGATCCTCCTGAATACAGTTTAGCTACATATATTAAAATATAGCATATGATGTGATGTACTATAGCCCTTTAAGTACTACTAGTTACAAGAACATTCTTCTGACTTTCTTACAACAAAAGAATTTGCTTCTTTTCATCATGTATACAAGTGCACATACAAAATTAAGAGACAAAGTCATAACCCTGGTGTCTGTATACTAGATTCCTACATCTTAATTGCAAAGGAGTAATCACATTTCTTGAGACAATGTAGCAGAGAAAATTTGCTTAGAGATGAGGAAATGCTGGGGGGGCTTATATTCCTTATCTATTCCCTCCTGAAAAATAAGTTAATTTCAGCAACTGTTTTCAAAGTAGGCTCAGAAGGAATCTATGGCAGGTACATTTAAAAAAAATGAGAACACTATTTCATAGTATTTCCTGATGCATGTGAAATTTAAGCTGATCTCATATTAGAGCAAAATTTGTCAGGGTAAGTAGAACCAGCCCCACTAATGTCCATCTTCATAATGTCTTGAATCTGCAATGTTGTTCTCTGCCTGGTATTAAATCAAAGGGAATTGTGATTGCAGACTGGAGAAGGAAATTGAGGCTCTGGAAAGAGAGGAAATGGAAGTCTCAGCTAAGGAAGAAGCAATTTTAAAGAAACTTAAGTCTGTTGAGAAAACAACAGAAGACATAATAAAGGTTAGTGCCAAATTACTCCAGAAGTAGAATTCATTACTCATTCATCATAATAACCAAATGACCTGTGAGTGGTCATGAGTTTTCGTCTAAAGTGACAGTAGTTCAAACACAAGAGGGGTCAAGATGTTATATTGTTCAAGCACCCAAGTGTCGCCATTTGGTTGTTTATGGGGGTGGGGGAGCAATTCCTATCACTACTCACTATAGCACATCTCAAAAAAATGGCACTGCCACTAACACCAACCAGCTACTTTGCATCTCAGCCAGAGACAGACAAAACAGGTACAGAGGCTGATGTATTCATACTCCTTCAGGTGATGTGCTCAGCTAAACTGCATCATGCTTTCCCCCAGGTCCCTGAGAGAGATTATAGTGAAACATGACTTAATATTACCAGTCGTTAGTCTTTGTCAAAAGGTCATTTTGATGATTTGAAAGTCATCTTAAACCATCTCAAAAACATAATGATGAAACTAAACTTCAGTTCCCCAGTTGTTCTTACACACACACACACTCTCTCTCTCCCTAAAGATACACAGGGAGATAAGCACAACTGGAAAGCCAAAGTAGAGCCTTTGAAACTCTTTGATGCCAACCAGCTTGGGCCACAGTGTGAGGCTGTGTCACCGATTAACACTTTGTAATGTCCTGTCCTTCCCTGTGTGACTTGGAATTGTCCTGGCAAAAAAGACCAGAAAAATTTCACTTTCTCCCTTGCCATGCTCCAACTGAGCAGGTTCCACTTTTAACCCCTTCTCAGTATGAAGCCGTGCACACACAAAGTTAAAACCACCAGGTAAAGCAAAGCAATGTCTAGCTAACATCTTAAAACTGACTAATCACACTTATTGTTAATGGTTCTCTTTCCTAGTCTGTGAAGACTGAAAAAGCAGGAGTTGAAAAAGGTATGTTTGCTCAAAAAAATATTTTTAAAAAGGTTCTTGTAGAAGTCAGTGAAAACATACTAAATGCTTTGTGGATCTTCTTTATTCAGAGGCAGCAGACTACATATATGCCAGCATACCTGACCTTCCCAAGTATTTCAGGCCTTCCGCACTGAGAAATACAGCGCATGCTGCCACCGATGATGAAGAAAAGAGAAAAGGTACTGCTTATTAGCAACTCCAAAGGGTGTCCATATGTGCAAAGACTTGGTATAAATTGAACTGAATACACTTTAAGGGAAGGATAAACATAACAGATATGGGACAATGCTGTTCTCATTTAAGCTGGTTATCAGTGAGGTCATCAAAAGCGAGAGGTGGGACACTGGGGTAAGGTACCTACCACTGAGAATAAGGATCAAGTGTTTGCAACATTGACACTTCTTTCCAGCACTTCGTTCCTCTACCTGGTGCAACTTTAAGTAGTTCCTCCCTTCATATCATACATTTCACATTTTCTATCCGCACTTACACCTACTGGGCAGCCAGCAGTAGGCTGGTTATTTCCCAACTACTACCAAGCCTCCTAACCCTTCCAAGTGCCCGAGATTCTTCAGTCTTGTAGCACGTTGAGCTCTTTCAACTGCTATTACCCAACACAACACCAGGGGCCAAGGCTACATCAGGCTTTCTCAGTCAATCACATAACGAAAGCTGGCTCCTCAACAGCTTATTTTTCCTCACAGAATTAGATCCAAATGAAAATATTTTTTTCCACTTCAAGTTTTGACAGGATGGAAGGGGGCATTCGAAATGAGAATCTAATATATTGGTTACATATGTGATAATTTCACGTATTTGATAATTCCTTCTGAAAGTCATTCTCTATTACTGGCAGAACTCTTTATAATATTTCTTGCAGCTTCTGCATTATCAGTTTAAGCACTTGTTTCTTTCAACAGCACTGTTTGCCATGGAAATTAAAGTTGAAAAAGACATGAAGACAGGAGAAAACACAGTGTTATCAACAATACCTCTTCCCTCAAAGGAGTTTAAAGAGACAGGAATTAAAGTCTATGACGATGGCAGGAAGTCAGTCTATGCAGTGTCCTCAAATGGCAGCACAACACAAGACGGGATGGATGAACTTGCTCCTGTTGAGGTGGAGGACCTGCTACGGCAGGCAACTGAAAAAAATTCCCAGTCTCCCACAGAGTATCATGAGCCTGTGTTTGCAAACAAATTTTGCAGGCCAGTTACTCCTCAGAAAGATAAATTAGTCCCTGGGCCAAAACTGGAAAGCAGTCACAGAAGAGAGATGAATGGATTTAGCAATCATCAGACAGAATTGTCCTCCAAAACAGAGCCCTTTATGCAGCAACGCAAAGAGAACGGGCTTGATCTTCCAAAGGCAATACAGCCGAAGTCTCCCTCTCCAGTACTTTCCCATTCAGAGAAGAAAGGGCACACTAATCCTGAAAACAGGATGATACATAACGAAGACAGAAACGCTGCACATGAGGAATTAAAACCTCACCAGAATATAAGAGAAAGACGTAATGAGACAAGGTTTTTAAGTTCCTGCCGTCTTAATGAAACATCCCCTGCACCTCAAGATGAGGAAGATGTTCAGTACAGCATTGTCCAAGCTGTACCATGTTACGTGGATGATTCAGAGCCAGTAACAATGATTTTCATGGGTTATCAGCGCATTGATGATGACGATGCAGAAGCAGACCAAAAGCTGTCACGATACGATGGGGTTATCCGTGCAGAATTAGTTATCATTGATGATGATGATGAAGATGACAGCAAATCTGAGAAACCAGCATATCATCCCATAGGCCACTATAGCCAGGTTTATCAGCCACCAAGCAGAAAAATCACAGAAGTCCCACAGACAAACCCTGTGAGCAGTCTGGGCGCAAGCCTGAACAAGGTACCCCACAAAAATTCCATCTCCCTGCAAGAACAAGAGGAACGCTTAAGCTCACCAACACACCGTGCTCGTCTTCACAGCCAGGTATCTGGAGACGGTACTGAAGATCCCTCACTAACAGGTAACAGAAAAGGAAAGTCATGTCACTGCTGTTTGCTCATGTAGCAAAATGATACTACTCTTACCTGCTAGCAACTGTTCCACTTTACTATTTGGATTGTTTCACGGACTCATATGCAATTACTAATCGTTTCTTTCCTCTTATTTGTTAACAAATGCCAATCTGCATTTTGGTACTGTTGAATTATTCCATCTTTAGCAATGCACTAGTTACCATATCAAAATTTGAAAAATAAACTCTCTCAGAAAAGCCATTTCTGTAGCCTTCAAAGATTAAAAGTGGTTCTCTTTCAAGTGACAATTAAAAGTTCCATTAACGCTACCTCAATTAGCAGAATTAGTTTTCATTTCTACCAGGTAACTAACAGCATTGCTTCTTAACACTGTCTCCTTGCTGGAATGTTTTTGTGCCTATCTGCATTCTAACTACTTCCTAGATAATCCAAATTGCTCCTCAAATCAGAAAGACTGTTTAATAACCAGCTTTACTTTGCATTTTTCTGGAATCAGCATTGCCAACCTTGCCTTGACAATGTTTATGTAAGTTTTAACATTTTTTTGTTAACCTGAGTTAGATATTTTTATAGCCTGTGAAAGACAATGAAAGAGTTTCCATCACTACATGTGGTTAGTCCATACAGTCCATAGTGATATATTTTTAACACTTTTTGTATTCTATTAATATTCAAGGTAGCTATTTCTTACTATAAAGTTTTATAATAAAAGGTTGAAAGAACAATAGCAAGATCTTCCAGAAACACAGAAAGCTCTTCTTTATGATTGTTGTACTTCAACGCATACAATTAAACTGCATTGAAGTATATTTACAGAGCAGCAGATTTCAGCCAGTAGTCACACTCCACTTGAAGGAAAGAAGGCTGTGCTTGAATTATAGGAAGATCAGGGGTCCTGATCCCACATTCTCTCCCTGCTCCTCTTCCAGACTATATTCTGAATAATTTTGCAACTTGGCAACAACAACAAAAAAAAAAAAAGTAAGTTTGGGCCCTGCCTAAAGTTGCATTGGCAGCCCAGCATTTCTTTGCAATACAGGTAAAGCCAGGAGAGAGGGTGGTCATTGGATCACATAAGGAGTTTGGGGTATTTTTGCATCAGCACGCACTGATTGGGAAGCGTTGTTCAGTAAGTAATGCTCCCAGTTTACAAGAGTATCAACCTCGTGCAGTCATGCATACAACAGCCTGAAATATTCTAGCAGTGCTGCCCAGCCTTTCTGATCAATGAGGCCACTGCACTTCTCTACCACTTCAAAGGACCTTTGCTTCTCTCAAGCACCAGTTCTGCCATCTGTGCACATCCCTGTGTCCTCCAGGACCAATGGCTGCTGCCAGCAACTCTTATGGCAGCAACTGAAAGCAGAAATAGCTGGTACAGGCAAGATAAACCACTCCAGCCACTGCTCCAGGCCATTATAGTTTGGGGATAGTCCCTTAATTCCCCCATCACATATGTATATGCATATAATGGAGAAGCGACACTCACCCACCCACCAGCTGGCTGCTACTGAAACAATTCGTTCATCCTACAGCCTGCTGCGTGGGTGCTCCCAAACAGATCCTGGGAAAGAGGTTTCCAAGAAGTAACTATGAGCTGACAGTACCATTCGGGTGGGCCATATGCAAGCCATGAGATGTTAGCGGGGCACGTCTATCTGTAACAATCTTTGCTTATTTTTGTCTCCCGAAAGAAGCGCCTGAAACTTCTTTGTTTTCCCCTGCCACTCATAGACACTCCCCGAACTATCTGGGTTCTCTCTCTTTTGAGGTTAGTGGAAAACAAACACTGACTTTCAGGGAAGGGGATAAGTGTAAATCTAGCAAAACCATTTGAAAATCTTTTCTGTTGATCTGTATTTGGTCTTACCCATTTACTTACAAGTATTCTACCAAGGAGAAAATAGCCAATTAGGAAAAAAACGGTCCCAATTAAATTAAAAGCAGTTTGGCAACTGCCTCAAAAATACACCCCAACAGTCAGCACTGCCTCTAAGTGAAGGTTTTAAGTGCCCAGTAGAGTCTGGAACTAAGCCATATTCCTCTCTACCCCTTCACCTATTTATTGCCACTCCCTGGGACATTTTGATCAGTGGAAAAAGCCAGGAAGTGACTCAATTTTTCCCAAGCAGTCCTGTAATCCTACTGCGACTTCTAAAAAGGAAACAAAACCAGGAAAGCCTCTTAAATCTAGAACAATGTAATTACACAGAGCTGTTTCTTAGGGAAATAAGTTGTTTTCAAAGCAGCCACTGATGCCCAGCCTAGCAGGTTCACCCTAAACACCAGCAGTGAAAAGGAGTCAAAATTATTTTTGGTACCTCATCATTCATTACTAAAACAAACCAGAAAAAATAATCCTCTCTGAAATGAAGCTTTAGGAGATAGCTGCAGCATTTGAACATTAAACAGGCACTGAGGACTCTCTGAAAGAGAACAGAAAGCAAGGAAGCACAGGCCAGGCCAGGGAGACGGTCCCTTATGAAACAGTCTTGCTTTGGGAAAGAAATGAATCTTCAGAGCAAGTTACTGAAAAAGTTAGTGATGGCCAAGGACAACTAGGAAGCAACAGAGTTGTTCCATGTGCCAGTCTATATAGAGAAATATCAGATTAAATTAGGAGCTTTCGGCATGCCCCCAAAACTGACAGAAATGTAGGACATACCTCTGTCCATATGGGAGCAATTTTCCTTTCTCTGTGAGCTTAGTGGGGGACCAGTATCTCAAAATATGTGCCCTCAGAAAAACCATACAGAGAAAAGGATGACTGCTATAATTAGGAGGCCAATATTTTGCATTATTAGAGCTTATTTTCTTCTTTAAATTTCAGTCAAATTAATTAGTGTGCAAATGTTTTGAAGATTCAATACTCATTAGGGAAATTAAAAGCCCTTGGGGGGGGAACAAAGGCTAGACAGTGCAATGAATACGGAAAGGAAAAACTTAAGCTGACTAGGCAGTAAAACCTACTGACAGTGTGGAACAGGCTCTCATAGGACATGAAGATCCGAGGCTTTTGGCAGGTAGCTAGTCTAGATGAGCTAATTTTTTTTCTTTGCAACTGGAAGCTGTGCAACCTTCAAAAAACACAACGGAGACTTAGCTCCGTTTGCATTGAAGAAAGTAACATACAAAAAACCTTTTTAATAGAGAAAGATTCATGCATGCCATCTGTTTCTGTAACACAGAGCCAGGCAAAAATGGACTGTTGGCTTTAAATGAAGCATCAGACTGATTGTTCTCTCAAACCACAACCAGGACTTGAATCCTTCGGAATTCCTTGGTTTGCAAGTACACAGGGTCTTTGTAAGCGCTCAGCTTGACATTAGCGGCCCTACGATATAAAAGTTACACTCAGATGCTTCTATGATTTGCAACAACTTCAGCATTCAAAACATAACTCAAGTCAGACATTTGCTGACATGCATAAATCAAGTAAACAGCTGCTTTGGCTCCCTGTCTCTCAGTACAGAGATATACGCAGGATGAAGGAACAAGAGATGCTATTTTGGGTGACTCTTCAAACTAACAGGTCAGAGGGCTGGAGATTATTCCCACTGCATTCTCAGATCAGCTACATGGGGGGGGGAGGCTCTTACATATCAAACAGCAGCATTATATTGCTGTTCTAAAAATAACCTTAACATTTAATCATCTGCCCTGCACTGTCACTTTCAATCTAACACACATTATACCCAGTTACAGACAATAGCTATAGTGATGTTTATACAGATACTAAGTTACTCCTTCAGAGTCAAATCAGGAATATGACTAACTCCCACTCTGACTCACTACACCAGGAAAAGAGGAGAGTTTTCTGTGAACATCAACACAAAAAAAAAAAAAAAAGCCTTCCAAACAGTTACAGCTCCCACTGAGGAGTTTAGTTTAAACAAAGAGTTTGTTTAATTATTCATGCATCCTTTTAATCTGTCAGCATCTAGTCAAGGACAATACCATCTGTCTGCAACACGTTAGTGAAGGTAACACAAACAAAACAGAAAAGAGCTGTGCTGATTTTCAAATAGCAATAGTGGAGCAATTTCTTAATATACTCGCTTTATTGCAAAGTTACCAGAACTAATGCCTTCTACTGATTTCTTTTTATAAAACTAAAACAATGCTTATTCTGCTGGATCAACCACCGGAGGTACGTGTATTCTTCATTTTTCTAAACAAGGAGATTTAGCATTAGAAATAGAAAGTTGGCCTGGAAATGCAATGGTTTTGTTTGTTTTCTTTTTTCAGCTCTGAGGATGAGAATGGCAAAGCTGGGGAAAAAGGTGATTTAACAGCTGTAATGACACAGAAGTAAAATTTACTACTCAAAGCAGAATAAAACTAAGAAGAGTTTCTTCAACACACCTTTTTTTGGATCATAATGCTTGTTTTGCTCTTCTGTTTTATGCATCTGGGCTATTTTGCCCTCTGCATAATCCAATGGACTTTAACAGATTTTTAGATTTGACCAGCTGCCACATACACATGAATCACATCCTGGATTTTGCTGAAAGTAGTGGAAAGTTACCTAAGACCATAAATGCGGCGTATCCAAGTATGAAGACATGTGTGTACCTGTTCCCACAATCAGGAATACGTTGTTGCTATATATACAGAGCAGATAAACACACATCTCCACGGAACTTCACAGGACATTGTTTCACTTCGAAGTGTGCCAATCTGCCTGATTTTGATTGAAAATGCCATCCCAGCATTTTTCTGGTAAAAGTGTTGGTTAATAAAAAACTAAACATGAGAGATAGGAGCAGGAAGAAATGTAAATATAAAAGCTGGTTTCCAAGCATACCACCTTGGCCAAAATTTAAAGCATTCCTTTTTAAGTGACAGCAAAACAAAACAAAAATAGTAAAGTCAGCATTTAAATATTTAACCACCTTCTAGAGCTCCACAGTCTACCCACCCTTCTGTTTTACATATGACAGCATAGCCATCCTCAGACCCTGCTCCCTTCCCCGTGCCGCATACACGCTGCCCACGCATAACCTTACAGATCAATCCTGTGCGTAACACTATGAACAGCCTGATCTCCCAAGCAAGGTTTCACCTCCTCGCTTGCTCAGAAAGCCCTGCTTTTCCAGGAAACTGACTGCCAGACAGGCAGTGCCTGTCCATCAAAAAAAAAAAAAAAATACTGCTTAGTATACAGGTTTCAGTTGGCCAGGGAGCTAAAATTAGTGCAAGCCTCCCATCAGAAATACTGAGTTGCCAATGGCTTTTTCCACCACCCACAGCTGCAACTAAACGTCTGGTATAGGTGCAGCCACTGCTGGGCACAGCTCTCCAGCAAGGCCCAAGGCTCCCACCAAGGAACAGGTTATTTCTTTCCACATGAGGGAGGAGCTAAAGGCCCTTAAAGCAGCCATAAGGTATAGTTACACCTAGAAAAATCACATGCAAGTCCGATTTTTCCAGTACATAGCTCTTGGGGGGGAAAAAGTGCCTCATAGCACTACATCCTTATATTCAAATCAGTATGATAGCTGTGTTTTGCCAGGTCTTCTCCTGGTTTGAATCACTAAACAGATAAAACTCAGGTTGTGTTATTCTAGTATAGCTGACTCAAATTATGCACCAGCCAAAAAACAACCATAACTTTTTTTGCTGGTCTTCCTCGTTTCAAAGCAAGAAACTGAAGCTACTACCTCATACTGAGGCACGATGGTAGTAATCAGCTGACTTGTAGCCTCTAAACACTTGGTGGCTCCCAGTCTGAAGTGGGTAATACTCTCAAATTTTAGGACTTGCCCGAGATGGTTACCTGGTGAGTGGAAGAGTAGATAAGAACAAATAAATTTAACTATATTACACTTTCTCTATGTCTGTCCTGGGTTTTGTTTGGAGTCTTTTTTATAGCAGGTGTTTTGTTTTGTTTTTTTCCCTCTTATGTTTCTTCTGTTATTTGATGGTTCAGAGAGCAGGAGAGGGAGTTACCTTCAATTTTTTTTTTATATTATTATTTTTACGTCTTCTCAAAGGTTCTTAACAGAATACACCAAAGTCAGAGAATAGGAGAGTGATATGAAGTAGTCACAAGCAGTTTTTGTAACAGTGGCAGATTGCTATGGACACTTAGCCCCCGCCTTCCCCAATAATCTCTGCTATTGAACTTAAATGATCTGGAAAAGGGGGCAAAAACATTGCTGCCAACATAATATTATTCAAAGCAGTTTAAAAGAAAGGAGACTGAAGAGAGACTTTACAATAGTGAACGTGTAGTATATCTACAAGTGAAATTCACTACCAATACATGAAAAGTAATGTTAAAAAAAAATAGAAATAACCCTAACCACACACAGCATGAAACTCCTTGGCATTATTTTAGATAGTCCTCTGAAAGTATCAACTCCATGTTCAGAAGCCATGAAAATGATGAGAGCTTTAGGACTCATTAGGGAAAGCATGGAAAACAAATCAACACACAACTGTGGCATAGCACTTCATGTTTACAACTTGAGTAGAGTTTGGTCACGCCATCTCTGAAGAGACAAACAGAGAAGGGTAATCAAGATTATCAGAAGCACGAAATGGCTAAATACAGCAGCAGTCATACAGGGAAAAAGACAGTAAGGCATAGACATGAGAGGCCTAGAGAACTGTGATAAAGGCAGGAAGGTAAAACCAAAATACAGGTCATTAAACAATGGCATCAAGAAGCAAGCGTAAAACAAAAACAAGAAGCACTTTCTCATAGTGACTAATTAAATGGGGGGAGGGCAAAAGCATTAACAGATTTTTTTTTTTAATTAATTCATTGCACACTTCATAGGTAAAATTCAATCACTACAAAAGTTCATGGTCCAGCTGCAGTTTCTAGCTTAGGACATCCTTGCACAGATTCTGGTAAGTAGCAAGATCTTGCTGGAAAGAGAAAATATCACTGCAGTTTTGTAACATCTCCTGCTCTAAGCACTCATTACTACCACTTCTGGAGACACTATTGGGCTCAGCAGATCTCTGCTTTGCCATATGGCACTTCTGATGTTGCATATATTAAAACTATTCCATTTGTGCCAGATGAATCTGAACTGTCCCACACTAATACACTAGCTATATAGCAGCATGGATATTAGATCATTCGTTTGGAGGAACAGAGACACAAAATGGAGCATTCAAGAGTTGTGTGCTTCTGGGAAGCAGGGATGTTCATCATCTGAGTGCTGCAGCCCAGAGCTTTCCCACATCCCATATCAACAAGAACAGAATTACAAGGTGGCAAATCATCTTTTTCACATGTCAGTAGAGATGCCATACAAAATTACAATTCATCATTAAAGCCGACCAATTTCTAGGGTCCAGCAAGACCAAAGTCTCTCTGAAACAAAGCCAAAACTGGAGTCCTTCTTAGTGCAGTATCATTTGTCCAGGATGACTATCATAGATACCTGGTTCAGTGTGACACAAATGTTCAGCTTTTGTGGTCTGCAATATGTAAAGTCACTTCTGCACAGCGCGAGGAAGACCAGCAGAGGCTACACAGTGGTTGAATTAGCTCATGTATGAGCGTGTTCTGAAGCACCTGTCCTGTCCCTCAGGTAAGCAAATGCAACAGCCCCCCCCTTCACACATAGCCCTTAGAGATGTTGGGATCAGACTGATGTGAGCAAAGAATTTCTCAGAATTACTAGCAGATCATCCCTCTTAACCATCCTTCTATTCACTTGCAGCCTGTCTTTCTTCAGCTTGCACTGAAGGTCTAAAATCACTGAGATATTAACTTCTGCATCGAAATGCAGAAGACTGCAGTTTTTCCTTGATGATTGCCATTCATCTTAAGTTGCTTGGAAAGGGATGTACCCACGTAGAGCACAGTTTACACACATGACAAAAGGCCATAACCGTTCAAACAAAAGCTTAAGCATAGACATCAAGTCAACACCCATTTCATAATGTCTGTCTGTATGAACTGGCTTGAATTTAAAGACAGAGTTTCTTAATAAAGCTTGAGATTTTTTTTTTTTTTGCTTAGTTCATCTAGGAACAGTTCCTGTTTTGGACATCCTCTACATGTCTCAATCTCTCACTGACAGATGAAAGAAAGCAAGCAAAGTAAAAATGCTGTTATTTGAACAAGAGCGCCACATAGTGTTACAAACCATGATGGAAAACAAAAGGCAGGCAATCTTTCTCTAGCCTTCCCAAAGCTGGGTAAAGGAAAAACGTGGGCATTATTACACTGAATATGGAGTTTCCCCATCTTGTGATTTTTGACAAGACAGAAAACTGTGTAGCGTTCAGTGTAAGGAAAAGAAACAAAGCACACCTTTTCTTAGTTCTTTCTGCAGTCTGCATGTCAGCTAGCAAAAAAATTATTTCAGGGAAAGCAAAGTAGCAGCGAATTCCATTGCATTTGAGCTATTTGCATCAGTTTTCATTCAAAACATATGCAAGAAACTTGATTTGTAGTTAAGTCAAGAGCAGATGACCAGTATTTGGAGGCTGCACCTAACAACTCAATCAAAACAGCAAACTACTTGTTGTGAGACTGATCACAAGTTTCCACTTGACTGGGAGTGTTTCCATGTCTAGAAAAATCCAAAAGAAATATGCTAATGTTGATTTGTCATCACAAATTTAATCTGAGAGTAAAAGAGAACACCAAAACTTTCTCAATCTCTTCTTGTGAAGAAGTTTTCTTAACTTCGGTAGGATTCCTTTATGAAGCAAAGCAATTTTCTTCTATACAATATTTTATCACTCAAAAAAAAAATATACAGCAGCTGCCAATGTCTTTAGAGCCAA